ATCCTGAGACTTTGCTGAAGTTGCTTATCAGCTTAAGGAGATTTTGGGCTGAGACAACGGGGTTTTAGATTTCCTCTTGGTACTGATTTCTATTTTTATTCTACTGTGGTCTGAGAAGATGCTTTGTATTATTTCAATGTTTTTCAATTTATTGAGACTTGCTTTATGACTGAGAATGTGGTCAAACTTAGGGTATGTTCCATGTGCAAATGAGAAGAATGTATATTCTGGGATTGTTAGGTGGAGTATTCTGTAGATGTCTATTAGGTCCAATTGGTCAAGTGTTGAATTTAAATCCAGAATTTCTCAGTTTTCTGTTTTGATGATCTGTCTAATGCTGTCAGTAGGGTGTTGAAGTCTCTTACTGTTTTTGTGTGACTGTCAAAGTCTTTTCTTAGGTAGAAACATTTGTTTTTTAAATCTGAGTGCATATATAATACATTCAGGATAGTTAGGTGTTCTCATTGAATTCCACTCTTTATTATTATGTAATTAATGCCCTTCTTTGCCCCTTTCTACTGTTGTTGGTTTAAAGTCAATTTTATCTGATACAAAAACAACAACTCCTGTTTTTTTTGTTTTCTATTTGTGTGGTAGATCTTTCTCCATCTTCTACTTTGAGCCTATGGGTGTCACTGCATGTGAGATGGTCTCTCAAAGATAGCAGAAGGATGGGTGTTTTTTGTTTTGTTTTGTTTTGTTTTTTTAAACCCAGTTTGCCACTCTGGGTCTTTTAAGTAGAGCATTTAGGCCATTTACATTCAAGATTAATATTGATATGTGGGGGCTGGGCATGGTGGCTCACGCCTGTAATCCCAGCACTTTGGGAGGCTGAGGCGGGCAGATCACCTGAAGTCAGGAGTTCAAGACCAGCCTGACCACTATGGTAAAACTGTGTCTCTACTAAAAATACAAAAATTAGCTAGGCATGGTGGCGGGTGCCTGTAGTCCCAGCTACTCGGGAGGCTGAGCCAGGAGAATTGCTTGAACCTGGGAGGCAGAGGTTGCAGTTAGCTGAGATCATGCCACTGCACTCCAGCTTGGGTGACAGACCAAGACTCCATCTCAACAATCTATTTATCTATCTATGTAGATATACATATGTGGGGTTTTGTCTCTGTCATACATAGTGTTAGCTAGTTGCTTTGTAATCTCAATTGTGTAGCTGCTTCATAGGGTCTGTGGCCCATATGCATGCAAGCCAACACCATTTATTGAAAAGACTATTGCTTCTCCACTGTGTATTCTTGGCACCCTTGTCAAAAATTAGCTGGCTGTAATATGCTTGGGCTTATTCTGGGTTTTCTATTCTGTTTCATTGATCTATACGTCTATTTTTATGCCAGTACTATGTATTATTTTGGTTACTATAGTTTTGTAATATAATTTGAAATCACGAAGTGTGATGCCTGAAACTTGCCCTTCTTTCTCAAGATTGCTTTGGCTAATCAGGGTCTTTTGTGACTCCACATGAATTTTAGAATCATTTTTTCTATTTCTGTGAAAAATGCCATTGGAAATTTGATAGAGATTTCATTGATTCTATTGATTGCTTTGGATCATATGAACATTTCAACAATATCAATTCTTCCAAACCATGAACACAGGATATCTTTCCATTTACTTACGTCTTCTTCAATGTCTTTCATCAATGTTTTATAGTTTTTAATGTATGGATCTTTTACCTCCTTGGCTATCAATCGTAAAGTTTCTAAATGACAACAAATATGCAACAATCCAGATCTCTGTATTCCCTACAATGTCTAGCATAGAGCAGGGTAATCTCTATAACATGTTTATCAAATCAAATAATGACCTATTTTATGATCTACATTTTAATATAAACAAATTTCTAAGTTGAGACTGCTGGGGGAAAAAACATTTTTGTTGAGGAGTCACCAGTTTCATAATGCCACACCTCCAGAATCTAAATGTTATCCTGTTTACCATTTTGCATGATCTTTTTTTTTTTCTCATATCCCATTTCTTCCTTGCCTCCTGTCTAACTCTGAGAGGACAGTGAGAGTATCTTCCCATTGTGACTTCTCTTCAGCTGCAGAATTGTCCTTAAATAGGTTATCTACAAAACCTGCAGTACAATCATACAGAGTGTGGAAGTACAGCCTTGGCCCTTAGTATTTTTGCTGTCTCATGCCTGAAAACCTGAAATACAAAATATCATCTTTGCTGACTAAGAAAGTTCAGTAGAGAGAATACCAGAGGAACTCAAAATTCCTTATCCTTGAACTATAACCATAGGAGCAGAAGAATGAGAATCTACAGGAAACCCAAGTCATGGAAAGCTACTAGTGTTGGTGTAAGTGTGTGTGTGCGTTGTGTATACGTGTTCCCAGCATCAGGGGACATCAGTATTACTGATATATTTCTTATGGATCTTGTAGAAAAAAAAGAAAATCTTACTATGGTTGTATAAAAGACCAAATATAGTGGCTTACGCCTGTAATCCCAACACTTCGGGAGGCCAAGGAGGGCAGATCATGAGGTCAGGAGTTCGAGACCAGCCTGACCAACATGGTGAAACCGCATCTCTATTAAAACACAAAAATTAGCTGGGTGTGGTAGTGTGCACCTGTAATCCCAGCTACTCAGGAGGCTGAGGCAGGAGAATCAGTTGAACCCGGGAGGCAGAGGTTGCAGTGAGCCGAGATCGTGCCACTGCACTCCAGCCTGGGTGACAGAGTGAGACTCTGTCTCAAAAATAAAAATAAAAAAAAACAAAGACCAAATATAAATCATTTTCATCAATTATGCTTTATGTCAAATTCTGCACAGTACATTTTCTCCTATGCATATCTATATATCAGCAATTACTATATGCTACATTTAATTATAATATACTTCTTCACCATTCACATAGTCTTCACAATTTGTTCTTTGTGTAGCATGTTATGTGCTCAAAGATTTAAAAAACAGAAAGAACGTTTTTGACCTCCCCAATGAGTGGGATGATATATGAAAGTATACTGATATTCTGCATTTTACTTACCCGTTGAATGGGTAGGCATGAAATTTAAAGAAAAAGTATGCATTTAGCTATTACCTAAAGTATAAATCATTAATTTGATTATTGAGGGTATCATCCTTACAAAAGTATTTTATATTAGGACCTACATATTCAGCTATTTTACATAACCAATGGAAATAATGTAATCCTATACATGTAATTACATTATTGATAAAAGATATAAAAATAATATCTACTATCAAAAATTAAAATTAAAATAGGCCCAAAATAGCCTAATTTTATGCCAGGTGTGGTGGCTCACACCTGTAATCCCAGTACTTTGGGAGGCCAAGGCTCCCTTGAGGTCAGGATCACTTGAGATCAGGAGTTTGAGACCAGTCTGGCCAACATGGTGAAACCCCATCTCTACTAAAAGTACAAAAATTAGTGGCCAGGTGCGGTGGCTCATGCCTGTAATCCCAACACTTTGGGAGGCTGAGGCGGATGGATCACAAGGTCAAGAGTTCGAGACCAGCCTGACCAACATGGTGAAACCCCATCCCTACTAAAAATACAAAAATTAGCTGGGTGTGGTGGTGTGCACCTGTAATCCCAGCTACTCAGGAGGCTGAGGTAGGACAATCACTTGAACCGGGAGGCGGAGGTTGCAGTGAGCCAAGATTGAGCCATTGCACTCCAGCCTAGGCAACAGAGTGAGACTCCGTCTAAAAAAAAAAAAAAAAAAAAAAATTAGCCAGGTGTGGTGGCGGGTGCCTGTAATCCCAACTACTCAGGAGGCTGAGGCAGGAGGATTGCTTGAACCCAGGAGACAGAGGTTACAGTGAGCCAAGATTGTGCCACTGCATTCTAGCCTGGGCAACAGAGACTCCATCTCAAAAAAAAAAAAAAAAAAAATAGCCTGTTTAATAAACAAAGACCCCATTCCTCAAAAGTAGCCTGTTTAAAAACAAAGACCCCGTTCCAGGTTTTGGGGCCAGGTGTGGTGGCTCATGCCTTTGATCCCAGCACATTGGGAGGCTTTGGGAGGCTGAGGTGGGTGGATCACTTGAGGTCAGGAGTTGGTGACCAGCCTGGCCAACATGGTGAAACCCCACCTCAACTAAAAATACAAAAAAAAAAAAAAAATAGCTGGGCGTGGTGGCATGCACCTGTAATCCCAACTACTTGGCAGGCTGAGGTGGGAGAATCGCTTTAACCTGGGAGGCGAGGTTGCAGTGAGCCAAGATCCCGCCATTGCACTCCAGCCTGGGCAACAGAGCGAGACTCTGTCTCAATAATAACAACAAAAACACGTTTTTGGAAAGAAAAACACACATGGCCCAACTCCTATGCCTCTAAGTCAGTTGCCTGTAAAGAGAAAGTATTCTCACCCTTCCACCACCTCAGAATTCTTAGAGGAGCAGGACCCATTATGTGGCAGTCTAGCACTATCTATCATGGGGTACATAAGCCTACCTAATTCTGAGGGTCAGTATCAGGAATCGCCTGCTTACAGATGAAAGCTTCATTCTCTATTTTGTCCTTTATCAGTGTAAAAGTAACATTGTGCTTCCCCATCTGGTAACTCTTTAGCTTTATAGGTTGGTTCAGGACTTGAATGGAGAAAAGCATTGCTATTTATTTGACCTCAAAGATCCCAATACTCTCGGTAGAATTTCAACTCTTTCTAGGATGGGAAGAAAAGAACAATGCCAACTAAATGTGACATGAAGTGACAAACGTTAACATAATGCTTGTTTAATGGCATCCCTTGTTTTTCATGTTTTGAAACAGAGAGAACTAACAAAGTAGATGACTTTGGATGGGAATGTGGGTCTTTTACCTCTCAATCAGACAAATGGTCTATTTTCTTTTGTTACTATACAATACTATTTTGCCAAAGAGAGAAATGTTCTTTCCTGAGCCATGGAGGCTAAGTTTGGCAGCACACCAAAATTATAATTTGATATTAGATGTTAAAGCTGGAAGTAAGTTTTAGTTTTTTGGCTCCTTCATTTATGAAATGGCAAGTTACCTTTATAAGTCGGGACCATGTCCAACTTTCCTTTTTTAACTTGTTGTCTCTCCAAAGGCCGGACTATTGCCACAGGCTGCACTTTGTACGAATTAAAATCCTGTTTGTAGGTAGTACCAAGATCAATCTTCTCTTGTTTTGGTTTATATTCTTCTGGCACATGGCGAGGCTGTTTAACTATTTCATAAGGACGATAATCCGACCTGAAATATATAAATTTGAAACACAGCCTCACAAGTTCTTTTATTTCTAATTATTTCAATGAAATATGGAAAATGTCAAGGCTTTTTTCCTTGAAAAGTCTGAGAAGATATTAAAATGGTAATAGATGATAAACTACTTGAAAGAAGTAACTGAATTTCTTATAAAGTCCTATCCAGTGACTAAATATCTTGAGAAAAGTAAATATATCAAAAATTCTAGTTTTTAAAATATCATTACTTTTTAATTAATGTCAGTTAATTGGATTTTCAGTAAATAATATCCTCAAGTAATTGATTTTTTTTTTCTAACCTGGGAGGAAATTTCAGGTAAAATTTACTAAACCTGAAAAGTTTAAAAAATATATTCCCCCTGAGTCCACTTTGTCAAAGTCCTTATTCATCCTACTTAAAGTCTCCAGCAAACTATTTTGGCATACTTTCTTCTTTTTGAATTCACGCTGTTTTCTCGCTTATTGTTAGATGATTAGTAACTCTGGTCTTTAGACATAAATCACATTCAGATTATGGATATAAGTGTTCCTCATCTTTGGATCTCCCAGATGGTAATGCATCTGGGATGGTAATGCAGCCAACCTGGGCACTATATAACATTATGTGACAGAGGTAGTACTGCAGACACTGAGGTAAAAACTGAGGAATGGAGAAGAACACAAACTTAGACTGATCAGACCGCCTACGTCCATTTACTAGCTGCAGGACCTTGGATAATTTCATTAATCTGTTTATGCCCCAGTTTCTTTATATTTCATAGGGCACAATAATATCTTCTATCTCACATAGTTGTTTTTAAGGATATACACACACACTTTTAAGACTGCTTGGTACACAGTAAGATCAATATGGCAGCCACTACTGTTACTACCCCAAGACTTCATAGATTGCTTTTTTCTTCTGGACTCTATTGGCACATGACTCATTTTGTGATTAAACTATCTTGTATTAATCAATATTTGCTGCGTATGTCTGTAAGTTCCCCGAAGAAACCCGAAACCCTCACTGAATTCTTCTTCTATTCACAACATAACTTCTTAGACTAATTAACTGTTTTCTCACCCACTCCAATCCATTTCAATCTGGTTTCCAGCATTGCCACTTCCCTAATATAGCTCTAAGGTTCACCATGTCTTCCATGTGATTAAATTCATTGAACATTTTTAGTCCTCATCTTACTTGACCTCTACAACAGTAATTGACATTATTATCCACACTGTCTGTTTCTAGGAAGCTTTCTCTTCCTGACTTCCTGATTATTTCTTGCCAGTCTCCTATGCAGCTTCATCTACCTTTACTCGGTCATTAAATACATGTTAGCGTTCCTCAAGACTTGGACCTACCTACACATACTTCTTTTCATCCACTGTTCACTCCTGAGGATAACTCTTCTACTCCCACAGCTTCAATTACTACCTAGATTGAAAAAACCCTCAAATTTACATCTCAGCTTAGACCTCTTCTCTGAGCTCCATACCAGTATCTACGATGGTCTCTTGGATATTCAGTGGCAACTCAAAACTTAATATGTCACAAATCAACTCGCTATTTCCCCTCAATAAATGTGGTCCTTTTTGCTTGTTCTCTATTTAAGCGAATGCTATTACCATCGTTTCAGACGCATAGTCAGAAATTTAGGACTCACCCTTTATACCTTACTACTCTCCCCTATCTAGTCCATCATCAACTACTGTCAATTTTGCCTCATAAATATCTCTCAAATCTAATCACTTTTTTCCACATCTGCCACTACCATAATATGCAGAGTTTTTACAATGGCTCATTTGAATCACTTTAATAGCTTCCTAAACTCATTTACCCACATCTACTCTAGTTCTTCCTCCAATCTTTTTTCCACATGGCACCTGAAGTAATGCTTTCCCAAGTAAATCTGATCAGGTCATTCTTGCTCTCATCTCCCTGGCCTCTTCCTTAACTCCCTTCCTCCCTACTCTACCCTCCACCAAAACAAAAAACAACAAAAAAAAAACCAAACAAAAAAAAAACAAAATAGAAAAGAAACCTTCATGACGTATTACTATAAGGACATAGACAACACTGAACATGGCTTAAAGGCTCTGCCTGGCCTCCTTCACTAGCCTCAACTGTCACTGTGCTTCCTCTTGCTTTCTCTGCTCCAGCTGGCCTTCTTTGATAATTTTCTCCTTTCCATGCTCCTTCCTGCTACATGCTACTCTCTCTCTCTCTGCTTGGAATGCATTTCCTTCCCCCTGTTAATCCAGCTAATTTAACATCCTTCAGGTTTTGACTCATTTTTCTTATTCCCTGATAAAGTCAAACTCTTATTCTGGCTGTCAAGATACCTGTGCCTTTCCTTCATAGATTTCATCATTGTTGTAATTTTAGACTTATTTTGAGTAATGTTTTTGATTGCCATCTCTAATAGGTTGCAACATCTGTCAGCACAGAGATCATGACTGCTTTTGGTCACCACTATATCCCAGGTGTCTAGTATAGTGCTTGATGCTTAATAAATGCTTAATAATTTTTTATTTAATGAATGAAGAGTAGTAGAAATCACATACCTCTGCTTCTCAAGACATGTGAGTTGTTCTTTGCTCTTCCTAAATACAAGCTAGAGGGGAATAGGCTAAAATGCAGTCAGGAAGTGAGAGAATCAGGAAGGGAAAAGCAAAGCAAAAGCTTAGAACTCTCAGTTTCTCTGGTTAGACTAGTTAAGTGTTAGAAAGTATGCCTCCAAACCCAAAGCCGCTTTCTATGGAGTAGTAGTAGAGGGTGAATGCAGTCTTATTCATCTGATATATCCTAAAACATTTGATGTGTCTAGAATCCTACTCCTTCAGGGCAGACTTCCTGCCAACTCTGGCAGTCATCTAAGTGAGCTACAACAGGACTGCTATAAGGGATCCAAAATCTTGTACAAGTTCAGACACTTCTTTACACAGTCACTCCCTGTACTATGCAAATGTACAGAATGCTTCGTTTGTACAGATAAATCCACTTTCTACTGCATAGTCACCACAGTCAACATGAGGGAGTCAAGCAAGAGTTTCAAGCTCCTAGATTATGACTCTTAGAAATACTGCTAGTTTCCCAGTGAAAATAGAAAGAAAAGATCCAATGTCTTAGTAAGTGAAGAGATGACAATTTAAGAAATGAATAAATTTATTTTTATTGGCATTTTGGACTTTGGGACTTTCTTTTTTATAAAAAAAAAAAAAAAACTATTAAGGCTTACTTGAATTAAGTCAATAGGGGAAATCCAGAATTGAAAAGCAACTGCCTTTTAAAAGAAAGATATGGCAGGTTAAATTTTCTCAATTTCTACACTTAGAACTGGTTAAAAGCACAATCTCTGTTCAATACATACAAATATTGTAAAATTTATTTTAAATCTCTAATATGAACCACTAAAGCATCAAGAAATAAATATTAATAAATTAAAGTGAAGAAAAAGAGCCATTCCCATTCAATCAGTCTCAACCATTTGTTCAATTTCTTCATCTCACTTATTATAATCCATAATTATCTTAGTTATTTATCTGTTATTTTCTTATCTGGACTTTCCCACAGCACTATAAACAACAGTAAAGCAAAGACCGTCTCTGTTTTATGTTCCATGTCATCCTCAGTGAGCAGTCCAGTTCCTGACCTACTGCACTGAATCAGTGGCAACAGAATCACTAGCAATGCTGGTTAAAAATGTAGTTTCCTGAGACCCACTCTATTATCTACTGGCTCGTTTAGATGGAGATCTGGAATCTGCAATTGTAACACTTCTAGATGGCACTACTGCATACCAAAATCTGAGGACTAAGTAAAATCTTCCATCTGTGGAAGAGCCACACACCTACACAAGTAACTAGAGTCACCAAAGTATTATTACTGCAAGGAATGCCTGAAATGTTAAAAATAGACATATTAGACTAAAAGTTTGAAAGTCTCCACCTTTGCTATATAAGAATGAGCTGCATCTGCAATGAAATGAAAATGGCTAACATCAAAATCTAAAGCTATTACAGAGCATTTTAAAAACTCTAAATTATAGAAATATGATGTCTGAGTTCCTTGAAAGCAGGAACTTCAACTTGTAAAAGGAAAATAAATCTTGGGGCCCCGAAATCACTAAGCTAAGGGGAAAAGTGAAGCTGGGAACTGCTTAGGACAAACCTATCTCCCATTGTATTCATAGTCACCCCTCTGCTCACTGAGATAAATGCGTATCTGATTGCTTCCTTTGGAGAAGCTCATCAGAAACTCAAAAGAATGCAACCATTTGTCTCTTATCTACCTATGACCTGCAAGCTCACTCCCAGTTTCGAATTTGTCCCGCCCTTCCGGAACGAACCAATATTAATCTAACGTATATGTTGATTGACGTGTGTCTCCCTAAAACGTATAAAACCAAACTGTGTTCTGACCACCTTGGGCACATATTATTGGGACCTCCTGAGGCTGTGTCACCAGCATGCGCCCTCAACCTTGGCAAAATAAACTTCCTAAATTAACTGAGACCTATCTCAGATATTTGGGGTTCACAAACTTATTGACATTTTTATACTTAACACCAGGATTGTACCTTGAATATAGTACATACATTAACAGTTTAAATAAAATAATGAGTAAATATACTTAATCCACCTAACTGACAAAAATTTGAGAAATCAAAAAAGGTAAGTTCAAGTGAAAAGTACAGATTTAAGAGGATTTTTTTTCATCACTCACTGAACAAATATTGGGTACCTACTATGTGCTAGTAGGCATTGTATTAGTTTTCTAAAAATAGAATGCTGAGACAACAATAGACTTATTTCCTGCTTTCATGAAACACTGAAACCAACCTAATGATAAATAACAGGAAGGTGCTTTGGGAGCTTACATAGAAGAATTTTACCTAATCTGAAAACTGGGTGAAGTGTCAGAGAAGGCTTATTCAAGTGATAATTTAGTTGAGATCTGCAGATTGAATGAGCATTAGCTAAGAGAGGGAAGGAAAATTGCAGGTA